AACGCCTTCTCGGGTGACAGGTGCCTTGCTCTCTAGAAACTTTTGAACGTCCTCGTTGACGATCTTGCGGCGGAGGGGTTCAGAGCCAGAGGCCAGGTTCTCCTTCAGGAAGTCGTGAAAGTACTCGGGTATCATTTTCTTTGCCTCATCCAGTGAGTAGTCTCCTTCGACGAGGCGGCGATAAGCCATTTCGGAGAGTTGTAGCAGCTCAATTGGCCTCATAGGGAGCTCAGAGAGAGCTTGACGGTTCTCTTCTTGATCAGATATTTTGTTCAGCTCGGCCATATGGATCCTCATGACCTGGACGCCTTTTTTCTTGCAGAACTGAGCGAAATTCAAGCCGCGGACGCAGCGAATGTCGTCAGTCTTGGGGCGCTCTACTGACTGTGTGTCTGGCTGGCTGACACGGCTCGGCCGGCTGTTGTGAGCGGGCGGGAGTCGGTGGCCGTGCACGAGGCGGGCAGGCAGGGGGTGTGAGGTTGGGCGAGCTGGTGGAAATGTTTCCATTGCTTTGTTTTCGGGGCCTGCTGATGTGGTAGCCGTTTTCAGTGCGCTCCGTCCGGCGAACGGCATCAAACGGTGGTTCGGGTGTCGTATAGGTCCTTCACGCATCTCGGTCGGCTGGGATGAAAACGGCGGAGCTAACTGTGCCTTGGGCAGCACGTTTACGTATACTGGGTTCGGTATAGTTTCCGTGCTCGCGGCCTAGTGGACTCAACGGCGAGGTTTCGTAGTCCGGTCCTCTAGAATATCGGTTTGGAGGAGTATATCCTCGTGGTCCTCGGCATTTTCAACTGTAGGTTGGTGATGTTTGACCGTCGGAGTCGCAGAGTGGCCGACGGGGGCGAGGCGTTTCTCGGATGGGGTGGCCCAGTCGATGCAGCGGTGCGCGCAGTATTCCGATGTGAAGGCCACCCTGAGGTTCACGAAGTCCAGGGTAGGGTTATGTTTCTGGAGCCATGGTAAACCTAGATGATAGGGGTCCGGGCGGAGAGTGTCGTGACGTAAAACAGTGCGATCTCGCTGTGGCTTCCAACAGTCATCCGTGATACGAAGTAGTGAGTCACGAAACTGGAGGCTACTCCATCCGCAAGGCGGAGCGGTTTTGGCTGAGCTAGGCGCTTCTTCTGAGCGCCATACTTGATTGCAATGCCCTGGTCATCTGCGAAGGCATAGGCTGAGCTGCCGGTGTCGACGAGGCTGACTGTTTCAACGGTAGAGGTTGGAGACTGTGTGCGCAGAGAGGAGAGAGATGTATGGACGAGGATGGAATTTTTATTACTGGTATTGTCTGTGGTGCAAAGTTCGAGAGACTGCCTGCCCAGAACCAATGGTGCTGGGTCCAGCAGTAAGGCTCGGATCCTCTCATCTTCTCCTTCATAGAGTTTTGACCCTCGCGAGCGACTTAGCGCAAGGGTTGGTCTTTTGACTGCATCGAGACCGGGGTTGAGATGCGGCTCAGGTCGTGACTCGCCTGGCTGGCGCTGTCGGACTCGGTGGGTGTGTAGCCAGACTGGACCTCGCCAATGACCTGATCAGTCCCATACCCGGCAGCGCGCAGCTGGTACTGGTTCTGGTACTGGGGAGCCATCTAGTGTAACGGTCTCAGGTAGTATATTGCAACTAGCTGATGACGACTCTACGAGTACACTGAACTTGGAGAAGAAAAGGAGAGACGACAGACTCTGGTAGCTCGCAAGCATACTTATCCTCGTAGGCGCGCTGGTCTGAGCGCGTTGCTAGAAGGTTCGGTGTGCTGTGGGGCGAGTGGGAATAGCCTCGTCAGGGGTCTTGGTATTTGCCGAGAGTCGCCGAGGCTCGCACCGGGCCCAGCCCGTTACATCTAGTGTGTTTAGGGCTGGTAGACTTGTGGGCGCGGCTGGGTGGTGTAGCTGCTCCGGCCACGGGAAGATGAACTGTTGCCTCTAAAACCTCCACGGCCTTGGGGGCTCGGTGTGAAATTTTCACGGCCACGGCTGTGGCTACCGAAGTTGCTCGACTGAGCGGTACGCTGGGACATAGGCAGAGGGTGAGGGTTGGCTTGCGGGTCGTAACGGTGTGCACTCTTGGCATATCCCGGCTCACCACAGGCAAGGCACACGCCTGTTGCGCGGCGGTAGTCCAGGACTTCCTGTGGTAGGCGAGGGGAACTGTATTGGGCGGCGCTGAGGTCCATTGGGTCCCCCGTGTCAGCTGGGGCAGGTAGCAACCTAGTGCGGGGGTTTTGTGTAAGGTTGTTCTGTGAGTGCAAGGCGCTCTTCTCCAGCTTTGCGAGATAATCGCGATGTTCCAGGTTGCGGGCAAAACGGTCCGCTTTCTTCGACCCGCCTTCATAATCATTATCCCGGGGGGGAACGTCGAGCGTGACAAACATGTCGTTGATTTTGTCGTTGACGCGGGTCTTCAACAGGTCGACCTTCTGCTCAGGGGTCTTTTTCGCCTTGACGAACAGCTCGTCCAGTTCTTGCTTCCAGGACCAGTAGTTCCGGTTTTTCTGGAAGAATATATCGGGCTTGTCTTTGCCGAACTAGGAAGAGTCTATGGTAACATACTGGTTGCGCATGAATTTCAGCATCGCCTGCCAATCGTTGAACTTGAGGTTGGGGTCATCAGGGTTCCTGCGGAAAGCAGTGACATGGTCAGAAATGAACTGAAAAGCTTTCCCATCGCACTGGTCGGCGATATAGCCGATGCGGAGCTTCGGGGTGTCGAAGTAATCCAAGTCGCGGTCAAAAACGCCTATGATCTTCGACTCCCAGATCTCGTAGGACTCCTGGATTTTGTGGTAGGTGCCGTCCCTGGCGTCGAACTTCGAGGGGGGGTCGGCTGCCAGACGCTTCTTGTTCTTGCCAGAGCTCATGGCGCTCAAGCTCCGCATCTCTTCCAGTAGCTTGTGCTGTTGCTCAATGACCTTCTTGAGGAAATCCCGCTCCTTGGCGATGGTCTGAAAATTTGCCTCGGCCACCTTGCCGCGGGATGTGGTGTCATCTCGTTCGTCGACAAGAGCGCCGATCGAGTGCTCCATAGAATTGAGGAAGTCGCTATAGGAGTCGAGTGCGTTGATGTAGGCGGCTGGGTTGACGACACGGATCGAGCTCGTTCGGCGGACGATGAGAGCGAGGTTCGGGCATCGTCGGTTGTCGAAGAGCCCCGCGAGCTCAATCCTGGGGTCTATGGGCGCAGAGTCGCCCATTTCTAGAGGTTTTTGTTTCGTTGTGGCCGTGGGGTCGGTGATCTCGGGGTTCGCAGTCGTCTTGGGGTTCGGTGGTCTTGGGATTCGGTGGTCCCGGGGTTTGCAGTGGGCTTGCGAATCAGTGGTCTTGGGTCGTGTCAGGATGCATCAGGAAGGTTTTCGGGCCACCGGGTCGCGCGACGGTAAAACTGGCTAGGAAACTTCGTGAGGGCTTCAGTGGCTGTGGCACACGGCAGGGCGGCAAATTTTGATAGAGCAAACTGTCACAGAACCATAGTAGGTTTGGGAAGATAACTGCGTTGCTCATGGATGGATGAACCTGAAGCTAAGTGCAATGTGCCACGTGACCTAGGGATCGGCGGTCCAGTGCCGTGACAATGTAATCCGTATGTCATGGCCATTATATACCGTGTTTTATCAGCGAATGCACCATATCAGCGAGTGCACCACTGGTAAGGGCTGCATATATATTTGGGTGCAGCACTAACGACGGGAATAAGCGGGGAATAAGCTGTTAGTACTTTGACTAAGTGTCTGTGCAGCCCTTACCAGTGGTGCACTCGCTGATATGGTGCACTCGCTGATAAAACACGTTATTACATCCATGGTTTTTTTGCCTTTATTGGCTGATAGAGCTAGAAGCGGTGCAATTTTTCATATACTGTCTTGATAGGGTCATTGTATATACCTGATCGCTTAAGTGCTTACCAACATAGTTTCATTGAGTATAGGGTGTAACGGCACCACAACGTGCAGCCTACCGTTGCGCCATATTCCTAGAAAAGGGTACAGATGATTCTATCCGACAGATTGAATCACTGGCTGCACTATGAAGCTGTAACAACTGGCACCTGTCGCCGGGCGTTGCCGACCCGACCAGCCGTGCCGTTACATAGGGCCAGCCTAAGGATGAAGCGTAAAAAGAGCTCGACACAAAGGACCGAAACTGCTAACAAGATAGGCAGCAATGGTGTGAAGAGTCAGGTCTGTTACACGTTGAAGGAATCTCGGAGTCCGAGAAAGGGACGTGTAGTACTGAGAAGATGATCCAACGCTATATGACATCGAAACCTGGTCTCGACGAATGAACCTGGAATCTGCTGGTTTGTCACGGGTTGTGACAGTGTGAGGTTCATGTGCGCAACTCCTGGTTCAACTGGACAGTTCGAACCACGGTCCCTCTTTTGAGTGTGTTACGCAGTGGTCAGTTGTGCCCACCCGTGACATGGTTACGCTTACGTTTATTTCTCTCGTTTCAAACCGGGAGACGTGCCCGTCCCGCCTGGTCAATCGCCTGGGAAACACATGCTGCTAGACAATGGCCGGTCTTTGTGAAGGAACCCAAGAACGTCACGCTTTCTGCACGGTAAGCGGAGGCAACATGAAGTTGTTAGTAACGACTACGGTTATTGAGACCAATCTTGCGATTTAGTGAGTGGGAATCTGCGCCCCTTTCGTCGCTTAGCACGTAATTATATAAGGATAGTATGTTTTTTCGTCTAGTACATACGACCATACCTGGTAGAAAACTCGGGATCCCGTCCGCTCTCCCCTAGATAAGCTACCAAGGGCCGGATTAGTAGTTGGGTCGGTGACGACCAGCGAATCCCCGGTGTTGTATGTTTTTTTCTGGGTCTTTGTCGTTCCATTTTGACACTATCACCGTGGGTTGGCGAAGGTTTATTGGACCGCTTCTTTTCAGGTAAAGTGTAAGTCGTAATGTTCAGAATCAACTTTGACAAAACTCAGGGCTGGCACTCGACACCAACAAGGTCAACATTAGGACAAAGTTGGATACTACTCCAAGTATCTCTTAGCTGATTCGGACACTTGTAAGTCGCCTTGGCTACACTTCTTACTGGGAAGAAGGTCAACACGAACTGACTTGATTTCACGGCGCTCCCAGAACCCGTCAGTCATCGCATTCAACCTGATGTTCGAGGTTAGCCGCACGAAATGGTAAAACGACGGTCTTGCCGACGTGCCAGGGTCGAGAGACCTGACTCGGAGCGCGGTTAATTCCTTGCAGTTGAAGACGGGTCAGTCATGTGGCCGACTGGGCTACTAGCACCTCGAGCTTTCAGGAGGTATGTGAGGGAAAGCGCACCCTGGAATTATGCTCTCTTCGGTGGGTTATTGGTGGATAGCCTGTGCGCCTACACATACACTCCGACGGCAGGCGCCGTCACAACCGCCCCCTTTTTTTTTTTTTGCCAGGCAGAACAACAGGATTTAGTCGGAACCCACTACAACCACTATTGTACAGTATTACCCCTCATTTTCTAACCCTGAATACAACATACTTTATTCTACACGCTCTTTCACAATGGTCTGTCACGATATTCTACACGCGCGCAAGCGCTTACTCTTAGGCTGATTGTTCAACTTGATAACAAGGAGATTGAAGCTATTACAGGCGTGAAGGCGCAGACTATTAATAATAAGGTTCTTGAACATATCTTTGATCTGAAAGACTGCCCTCCGGTAATCCTTGACGAATATATCTACGATGCTCTATAGACTAGCTGTCTCTCGAAGTAAAGTGATAAAGATATGGTTCTTGAAAAGGTCTGCAAGAGCCACTTCGGCTGCAAGATAATATACGCTCATATCTCAGCTGAGTTGGGGAACACTATCTCCATAATGACAGTCTAGCGCGTCTTGCGTTTCGCTGAGATAAAGAAGGTAAAGCTATTGTGTAGGCTTGGTCTAACGGAGAAATTAAGAGAAACTGCTTTAAGTTCTATCTCTACTATTAGCACTGGTCTTTTAAGGTGAGAAGCGAGTCATCTAGTTCGACGAAACATCTATTGTCTTGAATCACCACCGTAGTGGCTACTGCGTTTGGAGGACCCTGAGGAGATGATCGCTAAGTCTTAAATTCGCGAGCGATAGAAGAGATATACTGAGTTCCAGTTTTAGAATTATTTATGATTCAAAGGGGCTATGTTACATTTAGCATTTAGAGACCGCGTAAGAGGGGAAGATAAGGGAGGAAGACCTTGAGGAGCTGAATAGGAAGCTAGACCTATCCTCTGCGAGCAGTGAGAGCTAAAGACTAGCATGAGGCGCTTGACTATAGAACTAAGGCAGGTGTTACGGGATTCACCGTTCCTGTTGTCATGGTTATGTCTTATGCTTGCGGTTATGCATACGTCATGGGGTCTGATATGGTCATGCTTACGCATAGGCCTCTGCTCCAGTACTTAAGGTCTGGTTGCACGCCCATTCCTGTCATTTAGCTCTTGCTCTCGTTGTAGCAATATCGATCTTGTATATGCGAGCTGACCAGACCTTGGGTGGTGCCCGTCACAGCAGGTGAGCTCCTTAGTAAAGGTAGGATGTGCAGCATAGCAGACTTATACGACGAGAAGGCTTTGGCATTACTTAGTATCGCTACTAAAAGGACATCCCAATGAAGAAGCTTATTTTGTACGTTAAGCAGTATAGTTTAGGTATTCTTGTTAGGAAGACCTTATATCTTTTTACGCCTACTATATGTAGGCTACAATGTTTCTCAACAACTGAAATATCAAGACTTACTTAGTGCTCTAACTCGCCTAATCTTAATATAATCGAGTCGTGTTAGCCGTATCTAAAACGGGAGACAATGAAGAAGGGAGCTCTAAGAGTAAAAACTAAGTAGAGATAGTATAGAAGCAGGTATAGAATGAGCTAGAGTAATGGATAATATATTATTATTATCATAACGTTAGATTGAGTGTATCTTACAGTATATCTAGGGGATTATTCGCTTGAAGGGCGGGAACGAATACGTAGAAGGGAAGTCAAAGAAACTGCTCTTAACATGTTATTTCGGTTCCCCGGGCGAGTGTCACATGCCAGGACCCATGGATGGGGCTCGGTGTGTGGGAAGCACGGGCCTCTGTGGGTTAAAGATCCCGCACCTCGCTGCCGCGAGTTCTGTGCGTAGCTCCTTGAGCTACGTCTTGACAATCAAGCCTGCCCATACCTGACGGAATAGAGCCTAGACTGTAGTTTAGCCCGAATACAATTGTCATTGGATTATCCGCCATGTCCCGCCGTGACACCGAGTATGGACTAGCTTCATTACTTCGAAACTGAGATGGTTTATGGTTATCATTGCGATTGAAAACGCGCCTGTTTTGCAGCGGCTTATAGTAGCTTATAGGGGCAGGTTGATTCTTAGATAGTCAGTGCAATGAGGGCGGTGAGCCAATTCTTTCTGGTAGCGATATTCGTATACTCTCCCTCTTTCTTTCTGTAACGGTCCCAGGAGTATATTACAACTAGCTGGTGACGACTTTACGAGTTTGTCTCGAATGGAGAGAGAAGAATAAAAAAGAGTGAAAGACTATGCAAGATATCTGCCGTTTATACCTCCACATCCTTGGCCTGTGCGCTGATATCAAACATGATAGAAGTCCACCGAATCTCGAGTCTTGGCCGAGAGTTTGCCGAGGCCTTTACGGGCTCAGCCCGTTACAAGGACGACGATGGTACTACCATTACCGAGGATAGTACTAGCGAGTAGGAAAACTGAGTGCCCTAAGGAAAGTTAACTCCCTCCTATGAAAAGTATCAATAGCGAAAGGCAGAGACTACTTAGAGGAAAGCCCCTAGTTACTAAGTATACTATACCTGATAATGGAGTTTAACTACTTAAGATGCCTTGGCTGATATAGGAGTAGACCGATATCTATTCGCAAGTACTACCTTTATGAAGTGGTTATAGAAGCTGTTATAAGTTAAACGGCTCAATGACTTGTAGCTAACGTACTTGCATAACGAGTGGCGCAGCATAACGAGTGGCGCACTTTCTTCCTCCAACAACCACCTAACTTCATCCCGAAATTTCTTCCACAACACAACATGGAATCTCTTCCAAAAGAAAGTCGTATGATCCTTGCGCTCGAAGCACTTTAAAAATGACCCTAATCTTTCCGTACGAAAAGCTGCTACAATCTACGAGATCCCCGAAACCTCGCTCCGTCACCGACGCGCCGGAAAGCAACCACGACGCGAATTACCTGCCAACCTTCGGAAATTGACCGACTTGGAAGAAAAAGTCCTTCTTGAGAGGGTACTCGACCTTGATGCGCGAGGATTCCAGCCCCGGCTCTCCGACATTCGAGAAATGGCTAATCGCCTTCGTACGGATCGCGACGCGTCAGAGGTTGGAGTTCGATGGGCGAACGGGTTTGTTAAACGACATCCCGAGCTTACGACGCGTTTCCGACGCCGAGTCGATTACCAGAGGGCCCAATGCGAAGACCCTGACGTGGTGAAGGCGTGGTTTCGGCTCGTACGGAACATGATGGACAAATACGGGATCCAAGAGGTGGACATCTACAACTTCGACGAGACTGGGTTTCTGATGGGCATACTCTCGAGCGCAAAGGTCGTGACAAGCTCCGAACGCCGTGGCCGGCCTCGTACGAAGCAGCCTGGCAATCGGGAATGGGTTACTGTGATCCAGGCTGTGTGTGCGGATGGCTGGATCGTGCCGCCGTACTTCGTAGTCAAGGGAAAAAACCACCTTCTCCCCTGGTACCAGAACAGCCGATTCCAGCCCGAATGGAGAGTCCATACAAGCGAAAATGGCTGGACAACAAATGAGATTGGTCTTGATTGGTTAAAACATTTCGACCAATCTACCAAACATCGTACGAAGGGAGTCTATCGACTGCTCATCCTCGACGGTCACGAAAGCCACCACTCGATCGACTTCGAAGATTACTGCAAGGCCAACAACATTGTTCCGCTCTGCCTGCCTTCCCATTCATCTCACTTCCTCCAACCTCTCGATGTTGGGTGTTTCAGCCCACTCAAGCGTTCGTACGGCAAGCAAATCGAGCAGATGATGCGAATGCAAATCACCCACATCACCAAGGAGGACTTCTTCGACGCGTTTGTAGAGGCATTCCACGCGTCTATCACAGCGAGCAACGTACGAGCAGGCTTTAGAGCAACTGGCCTTGTCCCTTTCGACCCCGAATCGGTGATCTCTCGCCTCGACCCTAAGCCAATCACCCCGTCTCCTCCGAGCTCGCGTCCTGGAACAGCCTCGTCTTGGGTCCCAAAGACCCCGTCCACTGCGTACGATGCGACCCGGAGCTCCAGCACTCTCAAACGGAAGATCGAAAACCATCAAGGCAGCTCTCCCACCCACATTTTCGACATTATCGACTTGCAGGCAAAGAGCATCTCGAAACTGGCGCATGAGATGGTGTTGCTCCGAGCAGAGAACAAGGAGCTTCGTGCGGCAAATGAGCGGCAAAGCAAGCGACGCAGGACCAAAAAAACACGTTTGCAGGATGGAGGATCACTTAGTTTACAAGAGGCGATGGTTTTGATGGCAGACCGGGGACTTGGTGGTCAGGGTTGCGAGGAAACGTCTGGGAGTGGTGCTCGTACGAATGCAGGCGAGCCGCACGTTCGGCTCTGCAGCAACTGCAAGAAGCCCGGCCATAACGTACGAACCTGTCAAGTGGGTTGCGAGACGCGTGAGGAAAGCGATTCCGAGTAGTTTCAATTGATTTGAGGTGTTGTGGTTGAATTGACTTACAAGGTGACTGAAGTCTAAGAAAAAGTGCGCCACTCGGTATGCTGCGCCACTCGTTGTGCAAGTACGTTAACCTGCTCTGGTTCTTTGTCAAGTTTACCTTTACCTACGACTCCTTCTATAGTTGTTCGATAGTAATGGCGAAGGTGAAGGCACGGTCTAAAACGTATTCGCTGCTTTCGCGCTTGGCGCCTCCTATTCAGCATTGTAGTATAGAAGGCAACGACTACTGCAATGTCGTTGGAAGGTTATGCTAAGGCTGTTCTAATCAATCTTAGGCTTGTAGCGCTATAACTAAAGGAGGCCAAGGATAATCGGGTTATCTATTGCTAGAGTCGTAATGTAGAAGGTGAGTCGCTTAATATAGTTAATAACCTATAATTGGTCTCTGTCTTCTCAATTTACGCCGATAGCTCTCCGTCGACCAAGAAGAGCGGCCTCTTTTATCGTAACCGTTATATTAGAAGGCGATATCTAACCCATGAAGTAGTAGTCTATAAACGTAAGTTCGTATAGCTAGAGTCGACTAAAGATATATAACGAACTATACGCTCACCGGTCATAATATAAAAGGAAAGTAAGATGGAACTTGCAGATTTACCTACAGCGCTAATGATAAAGCTGTCAAGTAGCTAGGTAGTAGCTACTCTCTCTCTCCTTGGTATTGGTAAATACACATCTATACGCGACTTCGTATAGAGGCTAGGCGTTTCCCTGATCCTAGTTGTTATTACTGTTGTTACAATACCAATTAGTGCTAGAAGCATTGTCCGGCAGCTCCTAAGCGAAGCTAGGTAGGAGGACCGGAACCTACACTATATATTATTATTGCTACTCCGCTATGCCCTATGGCGTGCCGGACCTTCAGCTATTACTAAACAGGAAAACCGTACCCTCGTAGGTTGGATAAAAAAAACCCGTATCGGCGATCAAGGAAACGGTCAGTGAGTGAGCCTGCAAGTACAAAAGGAAAAGGCCTCCTGGCCTTCGAAAAAGGGGGGGGGGGGCGATATCAGACCGTGAGCTCCAGCTCCAGCCTTCTAGCCAGATTGTACATCGGCAGCCTCCCCGAATCTATCGGCCATCCAAGGATCCTCTCCGTCAGCCGTGCAGCTGTAAGACTCATTCCCTGCAGAATAGAGTAAAAGTCCCTACGCGTTCGAACCTGGGCCCTCTCCCATCTTCGAGCCAATGGTGACGCCAGACACCACATCACCAGGTGTTCGATGGTCTCTCGTCCTTCTCCGCATTCGCAGCTAGGTGTCAAGACCTCCGAGACGCCCCTTTTGAAGAGGAAGTCCCGCAGGCCTATAGCCCCAGTTCGGATTTGGACCAGCAGTGAACTTTTCGCCTTGCTCAGGCCCTCGTGCCTCCTTAGAGTCTTGTCTTCGAACAGGGTCTCCTGCTGGTGGTCAAAGTCGTCGGCTAGGGTTTTTGTTTGAAGCCGGGCCTCAAAGTCAGCCAGTCGCTTGTTGAAGTATAGGTCTAATGGCGGCACTTATGTCTCTGTTTCGAGGTTTCGGATGGGTGTAGACTTGAAGGCTCCTGCCACTGTCCGAAGACTCTTGTTTTGGGCTTTACCGAGGGCTTTGGTGATGCCCCTTGTTGCTGGTTCGCCCCCCTTCTCGGTGGGGATATGAAAGGACGATGCACCGTAAGCTAGTGCTGACCGGATGCACTTGGAGTACACCTCTCTCGCTTTGGCTAGCCCTAGGCCCCACGTTGCCGCTGTGATTCTTGTCAATGCGTAGCTCTGAGTCTTCAGCTTCCGTTCCACCGCTTCTAGGTGGGCCTTCCAATTGAGCCTCCAGTCTAGCCAAACACCTAGGAATCTCGCCGATGTTCTAGGTCGTACTAGGCTGGTACCTCCTCCTAGCTACGCGAGGTTCAGCTGGGGGGCCCATTGTTTGCGCCCTTTGTTGAAGTGAATCAGCTCGCTTTTCTCCGGGCCAAAGGCCATCCCCCGGGTCTCTGCCCACCGTAGGCGCAGCCACCAGCTGTCGAACGTTGGCCTCTAGCTCCCGGCCAAACACTAAGAGGTTGGTGTCATCCGCAAACCCTACAACTACTGAGTTGGGGTGCTCCTCTCTCAGCTGCTTGTATAGGGAGGCGATGTAGAGAATGAAGAGGGCTGGGGAAAGGGGTGAGCCCTGAGGAACTCCTGCTCGTATCGCCGTCGGTTGAGCTGCCTGACCATCGAAGTGAAGAGTGGCCTCCCGATCGGTTAGCCAGTTCCTCGACCAGAAGACCAGCCATCTTGGAAAGCGCATTTCTCGGAGGGTAGCTAGTAGCCGGATGTGGTTGACCGTGTCGAAGGCCCCTGTGATATCCAATTGGACGAGCAACGCTGTAGAGCTAAAATCATATAGAGCTTATACGATAAGACATGGTCCACCATCGAGCGGGACACCCCATCGACCGGGACACTTTTTCCTTCACTATAATCACCCAACTTCAAGACGCGTTTTCTCTACCACAACAATGCCCGAGAGCTTCCCAGAAAACCGAGTTCTTCTCGCGATCAATGCGATTCGATCAACACCGGGGTTGAGTATCCGACGCGCTGCAGAGATATACAACATCCCAAGTCGACAATTGCTGCGAGATTGAAGGGCCGGGCTGCAAAGTCCGACAGCTGCAACGGCCGTTCGAATTTGACGAAGATCGAAGAGAAGGTGATTATCCAGTATATACTCAACCTAGATTCGCGAGGGTTTCGCCCCGGATTGTCGACGTTGGTGATATTGCCAATCTTCTGCTTCAGAAACGCGGTGCGCGACACGTCGGAAAGAACTGGCCAGACCGCTTCGTTGCACGACGTCCAGAGCTAAAGACACGTTTCAATCGCGTCGATGGCTATCAGAGAGGCCTCTGCGAAGACCCTGCAATTATCGAGCTATAGTTCCGACTGGTTGCTAACATGCGAGCGAGATAAGGCATCCTCGATTGCGACTTCTACAACTTCGACGAGACCGGCTTTATGATGGATATGATACGGCCTGAGATGGTGGCTACACGCTCCGATCGGGTCGGCAAGCCAAAGGCCATTCAGCCAGGCAATCGAGAATGGGCAATAGTAATTTGTAGTATCGCTGGCAACGACTATATGGTGCCGCCTTTCTTGGTGGTGAGGGGCCGTTTCTACCTCGCTAGCTGGTACTCTAAGCACCAGATTCCCGACGACTGGGCCGTCGCAACATCAACCAACGTATGAACAGATAACAAGACTGCTTTGGAATGGCTACAGCATTTTGATGAGCACACTAAATACCGTCGGAAAGGTATATATCGGATGCTACTACTTAACACCCACGAGAGCCACACCAGCGCCGAATTTAACGAGTATTGCAAGAAGAACAACATTATAACACTCTGTCCTCCTCCCCGTTCGTCGCACCTTACCCAGCGTCTCGATGTTGGTTGTTCTAGCGTCTTGAAGAAGATGTACGGTGCCGAGATTGAGCTCTTCATCAAGGTGTGACAAATCTCAAGCCCTAACTTCTGCAAGGGACTCCTGAAGGTTATACTTGACAACGGGGTGATGTTCGGTTGAAGCCAAAGGATTCACAACAAGCAACGTCCAAGGGTACTGACAATCTTGCACTTGAGTTGCTTACTGGAGAACTCCCAGAAGTCCTCCAGAACGAGGGACAATATACCGACGCGATTCTTCGAGTGCTCGCAGTGCTATGCCTTCGATCGCTCCGAGCACCTTGCATGTTACAATGTGCTCGTCTGTCTTGTCTTTATAGCAATTTAGCTTCATCCTGACTGGTCTACCTTGCTTCCTTAAGTAATTGGCTCGGGCGTTTCTTGCGCCCCGCATATGGCTTTCTGGCATGCGGCCTCATGTTAGCTAATTCGTGACACAAGGCCCGGATTACGTATATCACCAAGCCCGACGAGTTCTTCCTTGCATTCAAAGCCGCCATCTACCGGACTTTTACCCAAGAAAACTCTCTCGGGGGTTTTCGAGGGTCTGGACTTATCCCCTACGACCCGCAGGCCGTACTTTCGAAGCTGGATGTCAAGTTGCGGACGCCAACACCCCCTGGGACCCCTTATGAACCACAAACACCATGGGTCTCCAAGACGCCCCAAACTACCAACGAGGCCCTTTCGCAGTCTACCCTTATCAAGGATCAGATTGTGAGACACCAGGGAAGCTCTCCAATTCCGATTCTTGCCTTTGTCGACCAGCTTTCGAAGGGAATGTAAGCGGTTTCCTATCTGGTCATCCTTTTAGAGGCCGAGGTACGGACATTTCAGGAGGCCAACGAAGCAATTTCCAAGCGCCGCAGAGCCAAACGGACGCGTCTCCAGGATGGTGGGGCTATTAATGGAAGCCAAGCTAGAGAAAATATGGCAGAGAAGGGTGTGGTGGAAGAGGAAGGGCACACCGAGGAGGAAAATGAAGGGCCATCAAGAGGCGTCGGACGGGTTCGCGGCTATGTGGCATCTGCCGCAAGACTGGCCACAATGCAAGGACATGCCCAGAGGCCGGAGTAATAGATAGCCCAAGCGATTCTGAGTGATTTAAATTGATCGCATCGATCTTGGTGGACTTTTGGCAGTTTGTAGTGGTGTGGTCTAGAACAGTGACCCGGTCGATGGGGTGTCCGGCTTGATGGTGGACCACGTTACTAAAGTTCTTGATAAACTTATAGTAGATGTTGGCAAATCCGATGAATCCTCGGACCTCTATTGTAATCTTCGGCCTTGGCTGAGTCTAAGAAGCCTCGATCTTTATACGTTCTATTCGGAACTCTCCTAGTAAAGTCTCAAAGCTCAGGTAGACCGTTTTCATAACGTGAAACCTGCTCTTATCCTTGTTAGCTAAGAGCCTCTAGTGATATAGTGTATCGAGCACCTGCTTATATATCCCTTATAGTTATTCTTCGAGTATATTTAAGAAGATAGGGATATCGTGTACTATACCATAATAAATCTATCGAGGATTGGTCTAACTATATAGTCAACGACTGCTTGGAATATTGCTAAAGCGTTGATCACCCTAAATGGTGTAACGAGGTACTTGTAGTACCTATAGGGTATTCAACACGCTATCTTCCATTTATTACCTTCCTTGATTTGGATAATACATATATATTGTCGGTAAGTCGAGGTATATAAACCATATACTCCTGCTAGTTAATCCTAAAGTCTAGAGAGCAAGGGCAATGGGTATGAGTTTTCACTATCTAATCGCTCAGCTATCGGTAGTCCATATGGATTCGTAGCTTCCTATTCTTCTTTAGAATAAAGAGGACTAGATAGCCACCTGGTAATATCGAAGGTCAAATATATCCTCGTCTAAGGCTCTCCTCAGGATTTCTATACTTCTATATTTTGCTTCTCGTTAGTTAGTATACCTCTAAGAACTTCAACTACGCGCTATCATTGAGCTTGATTTGTGATCCTAAGGTCTATAACATAGCAACCCTTCTATATATTTTGCTTTAAATTCTAGGTGTCCTTGATACTTGTTTAGGATCTACCCTATCTTATCGTCCTTCTCTATATCTTTGTAGTACGAGAACCTGTCGTTTCTAGCAGTGATGGTTGCCGCCTTATACTTACTGACCCAGTTATAGAGTTAGAATATCCTATACTCGTCTATCGCGATAACGGCTACTTCCTTACTTGTTCGTCTGTTCTAGTTAGTATTATCTACTACTTCTTCTAGATTACATTGTAGTCTTCTTGCAACTACTCGCTTCCTACGGTAGGCCCATAGATTATGCATCATTGTATCTACCGCCTGTATATAGCTCCTCTTATATGTATTTTCCTCATAAGTCGGTCGGATAATGGAGCCTCTCTCGGTTATAGGTGGCTACCTCCCTTCCAACTGATATTATCAATTCCTACACCGTTGTGCCCTAGGGCGTGCTGGACCTTCAACAACTTACTATACAGAAAAACCGTCCAAAGATATTAGGGCTATAATTCATATGCTATAGGCGCCTAAGAATTATGTACTTCTTTGGCCCTATATCTATAATGTCGAATACTACCTAGGTGGGTTTTCCTTCCACTTCGATGTCGAGTAGTTCAGTCTCTCGTTAAACCTATCAATTGCAAATAGTCCTTTAACAATGTATAGTTCCTTCTTGAATTTATATAGAATCTATCGTTAGTTGATGAATGTTAGCGAGATGAAGTTCAGCTATAATCCTCTATCTGCTAACGCTAGATAGAGCCTAGAATCCGTTCTGGTATATACTAACCTAGAGCCTATTATCTAGTCGCTAGTTTAAAATAGCATCTACTTCGTATTTTCTTGCTGGAAGGTCATAATAGCCTATTGTCTACGCTAAATCTTCCTATACTACGTGGCCTATCGCTGCTGTTATAGTGTTTAAACGTAGACGGACCCTTTAGAGGGCCCTGAGCTATTTCCTAACTCTGTCCTACGTGTTAGAGAGGCGTCCCCCGTATTATCTATATCCAGCGCTCGACACTCTTAGAACTATTATTACTCTCTTATTTCTATTGAGTCCGATGCTCTCGTCTCTAGATCTGAAGGCGAGGAGCGTCCTTTAGCTAGGTCTTGCCCGTATAAAAGTTAGCTATTTATTCTTTATGAATTATATATATTAGATAATATCTCAATATGAGTCCTATCGGTTATAGGTTTAGTATACTATCGACCATACTCTCAATAGCTATATACGAATCTTGACTAGTTCGATCTCCATAATATACTATAAGTCGTCAATACCCTTAGTCTTAGTCGAATATCCAAGGGTTACATTGGTTGCCTATACTGGTCTATCCTTCTATCTAGCTAGTGACAGAAGTTGAGCTTCATTTGAAATAATATTGATATATGTATGAAACGCACTAGAACTATAGTATTTGAATATAGTGTGTGTACCTGAATAGTGTTTCTATACTAGTAAAAGTCGATCGGCGTCTTTTCTAGAGACAGGTGTGAAGTCTCCGCCTATTCCTTCTTCTTCCACTTATTGGGTGGTTTTACCAATACTGATATACTGATTCCTCTGCCAGTATTCTTCCATAGGAGTGGTGCTTCGCCCTTTATATAGGTATACTCCTATATGCCGTTATACTAGTACTCAAGGATCCCAACTTCCTATAGGTCTATATTATCCTTGTGCTTGATGTTGATCCGTTAAAGCGTTAGTTGTTGACTCTTGAGGCCAATCTAGGTGAAGACGCTGATTTCTGATAATAGTCCACCCGATACTCGAGGTTATAAAGTCGTTGATCGAGTTCAGCGTTTTCCTTATAGCGCTCGATCACGTGTTTCTATAGGTAGGCGACGTTCGGTCCTTCTCATTCTCCTATGTTTCAAGTCCTCTACTAACCATCATTCGTCTTAGGTCCGGGTAAGTCCCTATAGTCGAGCTATTTCAAGCGCTCGGCCAGGTAGTGCAACTTCGCCCTTATCGTTGGTCTCCAGGTTTCTATCTTCGATATTTATCTTAGTATTAGCAAGTACCCGTTTACAGGTATCAGCTTGCTTAATATCATAGTTGAAATTATCCTATATATAGCTAGCGGCAACTACTTCTACGACTCTAATATGCTTGTCGATAGTAGCTGTTTCCTTTCCTAAAACCAGTTTTCAATCTTTCTTAGCGCTATAATAGTTGCGTTTGGAAGTATCCCTTGCAACGGGCTGAGCCCGTAAAAGCCTCGGCAAACTCCCGGCCAAGACCCGAGATTCGGTGGACTTCTATCTTGTTCGATACCGGCGCACAGGCCAAGGATGTGGAGGTATAAGACGGCAGATATCTTGCATAGTCTTTCACTCTTTTTCTTCTTCTCTCTCCATTCGAGACAAACTCGTAGAGTCGTCACCAGCTAGTTGCATTATACTCCTGGGACCGTTACACTTACATTGAAACTATAGAACCTGACTATAGTCTTCTTACCAGTGACAGTCGATTAGCGTCTTTTCTATGAATGGGTATAAAGTTTCCGCCTATTCCTTCTTCTTCCATTTATTAAGTGGTTTTACCCATACTAATATACTGGTTCTTCTGCTACTACTCCGTCTATAAGGGTGGTTCTTTGCCTTTCATACAGGTATACTCCTATACGTTGTTATACTTGTATTCTAGCATCCAAACTTCCTATAGGTCTACATCGCCCTAGTGTTCAATCGTTAGTCCATTGAAGCGTCAATTGTTAGAGCTCAAGGGCTATCCAGGTAGAAACGCTGATATCTGATAGTCTACTTGCTATCTAAGGTCGTAAAGCCGCTCGTCAAGTTTTAGCGTTTCCCTTACGTAGCTCGATTACACATTTCTATATGTAGGCAATATTCAGTTCCTCTCATTCTCAAATATTACTATCTTAGATTAAAGTAAGTCCCTATAGTTAAGCTATAACAAGTACTCAGCTAGGTAGTGTAACTCGCCTAAATTATCGGTTTCTAGATTCCTATCTTCGGTATTATCTTCGTACCGGCGAGTACTATTACGGGTGGTGACAGGCAATACTAGGTGATCTAGTAGTATTGCTAAGATCGCACAAGGAAACCGGAAACTCTGTGGGCTTTGTGCAGCAGTGGGAAAACCCTGCAGGGCAAGGTGGGGCTGCGCACTGACCAAGGGGCGGCAGTGCAAGACCCATTCCAGTGGGCTTGCCATATCTAATCTACATGGGATTCAACCCCTAACCCCGGCACGGGCATTGCACGTGACAAGTACCTACTTATATATATCAGTTCAATTAGTATCATAGCTAGGGTTGTCCTATGTATAGGTAGCGGGTTTTTCACCCGGCCCACGAGGGCGCAGTTTTCCTGTATAGTAAGTTGTTGAAGGTCCGGCACGCCCTAGGGCACAGCGGTGTAGGAATAGTAATATATATAGGTAGCGGCTACTACTTCTCTAATTCTAATATATTTAACATGGTCCACCATCGAGCGGGACACCCCATCGACCGGGACACT